CCCAAATCCCCTAAAGCCTAAACCCTAAACCCAAACTTAGAAAAAAAACTCCATAACAGCATCCGGCATCCTGTGAGCAGGTTGCAAGGAAGCTGCCGGCCGAGATCTCCGCAAACTTGGCCCCAGCGGCAGGGCACCACTGCACCTGGAGCACCTCGCCCTGGTGACCTGAAAGGGTTAATAATGGAGAATCAAATGGAAAAGAAAATGGAAAATGAAATGGAAACTTGGATTATATAGGGATTATAGGGAGCTTGGGGTGGGCTACAGTTGGGATCCTCTTAGTGAGGAATGTAGTAGTCTAGTATCTGAAGGGTGTAGTAGTTTCCATTTCATTCTGCCTTTTCTTCTGCTTCTGATGATCCATTATTCATGGTATCTGCTTGGTGCATAAGGGCCCAAGTGGCCTGGAAGGGTTTTGACTGGGAGCTTAAAGGACCTCAAGTCCCAGATGTTCACCATCTTGTCCTTGCCCCCGGTTGCCAACAGATGCTGGTCACTTGGGTTCCAATCTATTGTCAAGCACTCCCCGCTTGCCGTGAGCATTGCTGACTTGGACAAAGCCTCCCGCATGTCCCAAACAGCGATGCAACAGTCCTCCCCTACCGTTGTCAGCTGCGGCCCATGCTTGCAGAAGCTTAAATCATTTAGGGGGCCCTCATGCGCCACGGTTGCGAGCAGGGGCTTCGCTGGCTGTTGCAGTGCCTCGGAGTCCCAGAGAGACAAGGACCCATCGTTGCCACCAGTGGCAATCCAGGAAGGCTTCAATGGGTTCCATGCGACAGCAAAGCCATCCACTGCTTCGGCAGAGTACTGAAAGCTCCCCACCTTTGAGCTTGATCCATCGCCTTCCGAAGCTTTCTTGTAGTCGAACAAAGTTACTGCGCCATTGGAGCCCTTGGCAGCCAGGAGTTGTGGCTTGGAAGGACAGGAGACGAGGCGGTTCACGTCGGAGTCATGATCCATGGATACCAGCAAACGCAGCGGGGCCTCATGGCGTGGCAGTGGCTGCGCGCCAAAGCCGCAGGAGTCCCGCAGGCCCTCTGCGGACCAAGACTTCCAAGGGTCGCTGGCAAGCTCGGTGTCTGCCACACAAGTGAGCTCTGCCACGACCACCTGGGCTGTGGATTCATCTGCCTGGGTGCCGAAAGCAAGGCGACAACATTCTTCCTCGGCCTCATCCCCAAGCCACTGCACTGTCATGGCGGTGGAGCGAATACCGAACTCAAGGAAGATGTCATAAAGTATGGGTGCATTCCGGCGCCAGCGCATGATCTCGTCCAAGGTGCGCTTGCCATCAACCAGGATTTCCTCCCCGATGTCCCCCTGAATAAGAGCTTGCGCTGCAGTACTGTCAAGGTTTTTGCCATCTTCCGCCATCGACTACGGCTCGCTCTGGCTGCGCCAAAGAAAAAAACACGATGCACTGGCTTATCAAGGAGAGGTGATGGATCCGGTGTGACAATAGATGTTGACTCTTCGGCTCATGCACTTGCACTGCATGTGATTGAGGTTTACCAATAATGTGATCCTCAAAGAGTATGGTGGCGATGTGATCTGGCTTTTGAATGTGAACCTGTGAACCCAGCTTTCTTGATCTCTAAGCACCTCTCCGCCAGTGACTCCCATACCTTGAATCTGAAAATCCAGGACTGCTTTGCTCGTGGCCATATGCATGAACTTGCGAGCCCATGTCCCAACCTTCACCTGCATAAGAAGCAAGAATGAACGAATTTCGTATACATCTTCACAACCAAAATTCATGCATGCTCGGTGTCCCTGCCCTGACGAGAAGGTCACATTTTAGCATGCCCAGGCTTCCCCCAGAATCATCCCAAAACAGAATGAAACAAAGTCAGTGCGCCAGCTCCCTGACCTCTACCCCGTGCTTACTCCTGTTGGAGCTCTGTAGCTGGGTAGGGCAAGAATAAACCCTCCCCTTCTCCTAACCTTAAACACCCCAAACCCCCAATGTGAAATATTCATATGGGGGATTACCAAAATTAGGGGCACCTTTTTGGGGGTCCTTCTCACTAGAAGGGCTTGAACATTTTGAAACCTATATTGGGGTTCCCTATTTTGGGAACCACCATATCCCCCTTGCGGCATAAACTCTGCAAACCTTCGCCCCTGCGAGTCGCCCCGCGGAGGAGGACCGGAGGAATGCCTGATCTGAGTTGCAGGGCAAGCTTGTAGAAGCCTAGGTTTAGAGTTTAGGATTCAGGGTTTAGGGTTTAGAGTTTAGGGTTTAGGGTTTAGGGAGGTCTCGAAGTTTCGGGTTTAGGGCTTGGGCCTAGGGGTTCAAGGCTCCGAGATTGCTGTCGAATTTATTTTTCAGGGAGTTCAAGGGAGTGCTGGCTGAGATTACTTGAGCCATAGTCTCAACTCCAATTTTCCCCCTAAATAACCCCTTTCGTACTCCCTTATCTAGTCCCCTATTTAACCACCCCTTAAGGAGTTTAGGCTATAGTACACTTCTCTTTGAAGGCCGGAGATCTGAAGGTTCAGGGTGTAGGTGCCTACAAATATAGCTACCATAGACAATGGAAATAAGCTTCTAATGAGGGAACACAGGAGTGACGATATTACACTACCAGAAGGAACCCCATCCATGATATAAAAGGAGCACAAATACAAGATTCCTCTTCCTCCTCCCTTCCCAACTACTACGATAACGACGAATACTAGCAGCCATGATGATCCTCGGCGGCACAGCCATTTCAATGCTCCTATTACTCCAAGTCTGAACTCGTGGCTGTCAGGCCTTGCGAAGCCATGACCTGGAATTTCCTGACCCTGGCCTTTCTTGAATCAAACCCCTCGCATCATGGGCAACTGAAAAGACCACGATTTGGAGAAGCTCGACGCATTGATTTCTTGGACAGCAGTAGGAGGAAGCAATCCCGTTGTGCTGCAGGTGCATGCAACTTGGCTGTTGATGGGAACATACTACGGCTGGCAGTACTTCCCAGGCCTACAGCATCCTTCTCGTGGAGACTCGACTGGAGCTCAGATGAGCTACAGTCAATATTTTTTCTAAGATGACTGGACTTGGTTCCTATTAGGGAAGATATTACTGAGCGTCATGATCTCAAAGGGGTGAAAATAACAAGAACCCCTGGCCAGGGAAAATCCTGAGATTTGGGATTCTTAACTCAACCTATGTTTTGCTTGACATGCCCTATGCACATCTTGGGCGGTCCGGGATTTGTTGCAAAGGGGTAATGACAAAATTCCCTGCCTAACAATCCGCAACAAACACGACTCGCAATTGAAATCGAACTAAAAGAATGCAAACGAAGAGCTCTTTGCTTGCTTCTGCGCACTTCTACTCCTACTCCTATAGAGTCGGAGCAGGAGTTGGAGTAGGAATAGGACTGATAATAGAAAGAGGAACAGTACTACAAATCATGATAATACTAGTGCTAGTGAGAAAGCTCAGGCCCCAGAGTTCTGTAATACCACACCCCATTTCCCGGACCTTTGTTTCGAGATTGGTCTGCCCGGAACTTGGGGGCGGGGTGTGAAACGGTGTTCACAGAATGGACTATACAAAATTACCAAAGGGACCCTTATGTCCACGGTGACGTAAATGTTGGCAGCTCAGATGAACAAGGGAGGCCTTCCCCGTTGATGCAGGAAGGAGCTTGGCGAGGGCGTGCGCCTCAGGTTTGACTTCTGGGGCGTATGGAGGGAAGGGTTCCCTTGTGTCCTCATGCCCACAACTCAAACGCTGGTAGCCACATAGGGCATGCCTTCAATGATTCAAACAGACACAGGCATGTTATAAGTTGGAGGCCCGAACCCTAAGTCCCCGAGCCAAAAACTAGTGCATTCTATGGCTTGATAACTTCCAAGCAAACTCTCTCAAAGCTAGGTTCTCCCAGATTGTAAAAATGTACAGGGAATTTGTGGCGTCTGTGTGGTCCGCACTCTGGAGGATTTGTCATGTGACACCCGCACTCCAGAATTAAAGACGGGACCCCTCTGCAGCACATGCCATGAGCGCAAACTACGGTGGTGGCAGCAGGAACTAGGGTAACTTAGGCTAAGCTTTTCTTGCGTGTTGCCTGCATGACGACTCTCAACCGTTGTGTAGTGAAAGCTAGGCACAAAGCCCAACACTCGCGCATTGCTACAAATCATGTATTTTTTGACTGCCTGCAGAAAAATTACTTGAATAGCCTGCAAAACTTGGATGCGAGCCCTTTGGTGGCAACATCAACATTTTCGACGTGGCTCAGTGCTACAAGCCGGAATATGATGCAGGCTGTTTCAAAGGCCGGTACTCTCGTGAGGACGCTGCAGAGGAGGCACGGCTGTTGGGCCTCTAGGGCTGGGGTTGGATGGTTCAGGCTTACAGTGCACGATAACTTTTTGATGCGTAAGGAATTGTAAGGAGTACTGTATACTGAACATTGACGATGAAGGCCCTCCTCTAGGAAATAACAATGATTGAACCATATTTGTGCTCTACCATCTCAAAACAAGAGGATGGCAGTGTTGCCACGTCCCCTTCAAAAGGGTCAGTGTTTGAGCGGATTACATTTCCAAGTGGCCCTGCATAGTCACTCTCAATTTCGGAAGTGTACAACCATCGTGCTCACCACCCAGATGCATTCTTCAACAGAAGCACTGCAGCAAACGCCACAAACAGTTCTGCCGCTCTTGTCTATAGCGTGGATTTTACGACTGGAAAAAGCACATGTTGATGTCGATGCTTGCCTATGGCCGTGCATGCCTCAAGTCCCACACTGCCAGGTACAAAGCTTTCCTGTTTGAGCAAGGCCCTCAAGAAATCTGGTATCCCGGGGCTGCGAAATCAGGATTTTACGTCAAGCCCAATGTAGAAATGGAAAGACACGAGCGATTAGAGCGTGGTTTGAGGTAACTATACAACTGGCATACCAAGAACCAACGCAGAAGAGCACACCATGGGATTTCTGCTATGAGTCCCCTGTACAGTACCTCATTAGAACCTAATACTAACCCTGGTCATCTAAGAAACTTCAGGTCATTGCCTTTACACCCGCTCGACTGCCCTTGGCAGTTTCAGGTGCCTGGGCGGCGGTCGAGAGACGGGTCGCGGATTCGAAAGCGGCCTCCAGCTATGTGAGCTTGCGAGGATCACTTTTTCTGCGAGCATGTCCTTCCGGTGCAATAGGAACTTGCGCCTCGAGAAGTTCCTTCTCCCAAATCACTGAAACATGCAAAATTGAGGGTGCTCTACAAGGACCTCCTATGCCGAAGCCTGCAACACATACATCAAGGCACGGCGGAGATATCTGGAAACCCATAAGCTTCAACCCTTATCCAACAAGACCTAAAATCAAGACTATCCTGGTTTCACTTGATGTGCTTGTTACCAATGAAACCTTTTTGTAAACCCAACACGCTGTACACCTTGCCCATCCTATCAGAGAATCCTCTTCCAAAAACACTAGCACAAATCTGTGCGCACGCTTCCCATCACAAGCTCGGTAAAGCTGATAATGAGGAATGTAACCCTAGTTCGATGATGGTAGCTTACTCCGAAATCCCCTCTCCACTAAGATCCCCTAAACCCTATGTGAACCGAAGGGGCTCAAACTATAATTCCCCCAGATAACCAACCCGAAACCCTAAACCCTAAGCCTTCCCGACCCTTTATCCAGCTGCCTTGAGGGGGGCCTAGCTCGTTCTGCGGAAGGGGTCCGCGACACTGGCCTCGACCTGCCATGCCCTATAATCGGAGTTTATATTTACATATATATGTGCGTGTAATATCGTGTAATGTAAAAGAAAATGGAAACTACTAGTTTAGGGTTTAGGGTTTAGTACTATATTGTGGGGGGTGGGGGGTTGTTATTCTTAGTAGCGAAGAAGGGGATACATTTTAGAGGGATTATATAAATATAGGGATGATGTTCCCTGTTTCCCCGCCAAAACCCCCAGTAAGGTAAGGGGGGTGGGAGTTGGGTCTTGGAAGTGGGGGAGCAGTGTCCCAGCTCCTTTGCAGGGCGACCTCGGGTTGAACCCTCTTTTGCCATTGCGCTGCCAGACTGGTAGCCCTAAGGGCACCCTTGAAAGCGCAGTAATGCATAAGCTTTTGCTTAGCTTAAACTAAGGTCAAGTGGAAGTGAAGACAACCATTCTCTTGGGAGACATCCTCAAGTTGACATACCGGATGTTGTCCTGTACTTCCACTTCTACACGAGCAGGTTCAGGATGACTCATGAGCCATCCATCCTCAGCTTCAACAAAAATTTGCTCTCAGACCTTCACGCTCGGCAGCAGCTGCTTCCTCTCCTCCTCCTCTTGCTCAATCTGGGAGCGGGCTTTGCCGTAGAGGATCCCGCCCAGGATTGACAGGCATGCGCCCAGAATCTGCCCGTGGGTCAACACCTGTTGCAACTCGTTCAATGAAAGTCCAAACGTTGTGGGGGACTGCTGGAACACTATTCGAGAATTCAGAAAGCCACCATGTTTCAATCCTTATCAGGAACTGCTGAAATGCAATGTCCCAAAAAAGGGCTACACCTGTTTTGTGTGACCCCTGGTTTGACCAACTGCCACCTTGGTATGCATGCCAAAAGCCTCGATTCCGATGATGACAAACTTGTTGGCGTTGACCATGACCTGTTTTTTGGCCGTCTCAATAGCAGACATCTACCCCTAACTTATGACTTCTGGCCACCTACGAATCCCCCACAACCTAAAACCCAGTCCCAAAAATCATGAAAGTTAGTTCCCCTAAATACAGACGAAATACTGTACTCCTTAGTATGGAGACCCCTCAAAGGGTACCCCACAAATTTGGGGGAAATGCCCCCAAAAATCCCAGGAAGCTGCCAGGGGACCAGGAAGCTGGTGGCGCTGATCAAGCTCTGGGCCCAGATCCCCGTGAAGCCGATGGACAAGCCAATGACACAGCTAAGGCCGATGTATAGCTTATCCAGGCCTCAAGTGCTCGCAGTTTCGATGACAATTGCAATTTGTTGTAATATATCATAGTATACTAGAAGGAGTAATACGCTTCAGAAAACGCTGCAACCCTCCCCCCTCCCAAGTTTAGGGGTTTACACGCGTGCATCGCGCGACTTAGGATTGGGTCTTCAGCGTGTCCAGGCCTGAGAGGTTGGCAAAGGCTTGGGGCACTTGGTTGACTTCGCCCATGAAGTAGGCGGCAATCCCCACTGGGATGAGACCCATCATGTTGTTGATTACAGTGATGCCCGTCTTGGAGATGTCCACGGGGTGCTGGTCCTTGGAGAGAAGCAGGCGCTGCAGCAGCCGATCACACACGGCCACCACACTGTTGAGCATCACCCAGCCAATGCCCTCCCAGTGCTCGGCATGGAGCTGGGACACGTACATGACAGCACCTGCCATCATCACTAGGATGGCTCCAACCATAGGCCCGCTGATGCGCAAAGGCTCAGGGTAGAAGCGCTCGATGAAGAGCGAGAAGAGGGGCGAGGCACTACGGAGGACAATGACCAACGACATTGGAGCGCTCTTCAAGGCCAGGATGGAGGTCATCAACATGCCGGTGAAGCATGGCACAACCATGCACCACCGCAGGAAGTCCCTCATGGATCCGATGTGCAAGTAGGGAAAGCCAAAGATGAGCATGAAGAAGGCCGCAAAGAACAGCTGCACCCAAACCAGGCTACACTCCAAGGGGAAAGCCTGGACAGCAAGCTTGTTGAAGAGAAGCATCCCCACTGAGGAGAAGCAGTTGAACGTGCATGCCAACATGGTTTCGAGCTGCTGAGCATGGAGAGAGGCCATTGCTTGAAGGATTTTCTTCGGTAGCGGATGGTAGTAGTCAGGGAGGCGTGCTAAAACTTGAGCAAAGCTGGCTTGCAGAGATTGTAGCTACATCTAGAACATCGCGCTAGACGTTCGATCGCTGTGAGCTCTTCCCCTGCTTCCGACTATGCTTGAGCTCCTAGCTTTCGATGGTTTCAGGAGGAACCTAGCTTTGAGATATGCCTTCCACTCCATTCTAGGGTTGAGATCATGGGCCCCTAGTATGGGTCCTTAATTCTGGGATCCTTATATACCTACTGTATACCCTATATGTACCCTGTGAGGGTTCCTAGAATGCCCCTACAAGGCCTAAGGGCCCATATTAGGAGCCCATACTTCTACCCTTAGATCCATGATATGCCCTCCCTATAGTTTCCATTTCATTTTCCATTTTCTTTTCCATTTGATTCTCCATTATGGGGTTATGGACCTCAATTTGCTAAGTCCTTATTGGGGGCCCACTCCTGCACACACTGCCCTAGGAACTATTCACTGCCAGGGGCCTCCCCACCGAGGGCGCACGTCCTATCCGTGCCGCCAGGGTCCGCTTCTCCTGGCCGGATGTTGCTTACGGCTGCTCCCTAAGGCGTCAGTGTTCTTCAAATCCTAAAGTCTGAAACCCTAAGAACCTAAGCCCTTAGGTTTCAGGGCTTATGGCTTTAGGTTGAAGACTTCGGGCTGAGGCTTTGTGTCGGCAGGTGAATGTGAGGCATTTCAATTCTTCGGGAGCCGGCATGATAATAGCAATAATCATCGGCTGTAAGATAATATTGCGCCTGCAACCCTGCGTCCAAAGCATTTGTGTAACCTGGTATCACCCCAGCCTAATGCATTTCAGCTAACATATCGGCAAGGAATGAAGGAATGATCCTTGCTTGGCTACGTACATTCAACAATCAACTCTTTCATTCCCTCCCCCCTGATGCCTAAACTAAACCCTGGACCCTCAACCCCCATTGTTCGCAGAGCTCCTCCTCCAGCTTTTTCAGCTGAGCTTGGAGCCGTTCTGCCTGAACACGTCCAGGGTTTGGGTTTAGGGCTTAGGAACCAAGTTTAGAGTTATGCATATCCCTTGGCAGGCACGGAACTATGGAGCAGGGTGCATAGCTATACACTTCACGGCTGATTCTCTACGTGAAGGATGCGCAAAAAAGCGCTGCACTGAAAGGGAATGACCCCAAACGGGGAGGAGAGGAGAAGAGAAGCAGTGGGCCCTCAAGGCAAGGAAAAGCCCCAACCAAGTCCCTGACAGGGAGGAGAGGAGAAGAGAAGGGCCCTTACCGACGGGAGGCTTGAAACCTGGAAGGTTGACGATGATCTTTCTTTCACTCGCCGCAAAGAGTCTTTGCGTTGCGCATTTGAACTCCATTTTGTTAATGGAAGTCCAACAGTAGCCCCGGCCCGGTAGGCCCCACAAGCG